GTAGGAAAACCAGAATGAAACTCTTGAGAAATTGTTTTTCTGGCTTTGGTATTCACCTTACAAAAATATGTCACACTGTATTCCTTCCCAGATAGCTTTGTTCTCACTTTACTCTGGCCCTTTAGTCTCACCAAAACAACACATGTAGCAGTAACAGGAACCACTCTGTCAGCTCCAAGTGTTAAGTTGTGAGATACTTCCATTTTCTTTTCAAAACCAAAATAACAACACCTGCTAAGTGACTGCTATGGTTTCTTCCATTTTCTTCTAAAGTGCTGCTCTGTTGGGCATTGCAGTCATAAAGCTGGACCTTTTAAAGGTGGCAGGCACTGGGCACTGCCCCAGTTTTTGCTGTGCTCTCCTTCCCCAGTGCCCTCCTGTCTGCCCAGCAGCTTCCCAGGAGCAGGGGAAGAGCTGCCCTTTGCAGAACACCCAACATCAGCAGCGACCTCCCCGTGTACCTCCCTCTATGCCAAAGATTTAGGCCATCAACCACTGCACTACATAAGAACTTGCTTAAATCTCATACAACTAAAGAGCTTTATTGGGCACACGTCTTGGTGGACTGGTGCAGTGAAATGCCCGGGCCACTCCACTGCTCCTCTCAAGGTCAAAATTACTGGTGGCTTAAGCTACCTGAAAGCAGGGATGTGATGGATGGACATAGACTGGACAGGCAACCCTTCCCCAAAGCTGGGCAGGTTTTGAAAGGATGCACAACCACCAAGAACCTGGCTGTGGGCCAACTGGTCCAGACAGGTCCAAACCAACCCGCTCAGCAACTGCCTGAAGCCCAAAAGGCAAAGATGGTCCCGATGGTCAGTGGTACAAACAGCACATGGGTAACACTCAGTCACCAACTGTACCTGCAGTAACAAAACAGTTCAAAAACAAGCATGAGGAGCCTCTAAGCAGAATAAAAAGACTTCCTCAGTCATGAAAAGGCTGCGACTTTAAACCCCAATCTGCTGCTGTTTGGATTTGGAGCGGCTCTTTCCTTTAGAATCACCATAATACATTAATTCTAATGTACACCTTGCATTAGTTATGCTGGCAAAAAAAAATTAATTACTGGATGTAAAGAATACTTTGCACTGCAATAATGGTCATCAGATCTTTTTTACCAAAGTCCTATCCCACTGAGTTAAAAGGACTAGGGTCTAGCACAGCCTATGCAGTGCCTGTGTATTTTTTTCACTAGGAAAGCACAATTTATGCAAAACACTATACTTCTACATTTTATAATTAATTTTCAAATGCTTCACCTATACATATTTTAATAATTTCTGATTTATCAGATGGTATCTGTAATAAATTTTTCTATATTTCAATAAATGAAAAGAAGGCAGTTTCAATCCAACAACAGAGTGCCACACAATATAGGCCTGTCAGGCACCAATTTTTACTTCTAACATGTAAGTTAAAGGATAAGGAATTTATAATGCTGCCTGTGAACGAAACCACTTTTCATACACAAATGTGATCTTTTTTTTTCCAAAGGGTAATACAACAGTACATTTACATAAACTAATCCAAACAATCTATGTATTTGACAATGGCAAACCTCACACAGACTGCCTATTGTTGGTTTACATCTTGGAGTTCTTTATGTTGGCTTGTAACACTGCTCTAGCTGTCAAAGGTTTGACTTGGACTCTAAATAAATGGTTATAGAAGTGCTGTGCAGCGATATTGGACTTCTTTGCAAAAGAAAACCTGCTGTGTATGAATTCAAAAGCTATTAATTTTTCAGTCAAAAATATTCATGCCTATTTCTTTTAATAAAGAAACACTGTGCTGAGCAACTGAGAGATAATGTTGACTAGTGGTACAGAATTTTCAATAGAGCAGTTAAAAATAAATTTAGTAGGAGGTCCCCAACAAAGCTATAATTTTCCAGAATGTAAAACATTTTTAATACTAATCAAGACAGCCCTTTTCCCCCTGCGTTACCTTTTTTTTTTTCTCCTTCCTTTTTTTTCCCCCCCTTTTTCTACTGCTTATTCCTGTTTATTAGCTAACACTAATCTTCATGGTGACACTGGTGGTATCTCCATAGCCTGCAACACCCACAACAGCTTCTTGCCCTCCACGGCCCAGCATCGATCACGGGCGGCCCTGCCAAACGCTTCTTGCCTTCTTACCATTTCCTCCCTTTAGTTTTTAATCCTTCCTCCTGAGGGGCACCACTGTTATGAAAGGCCTCAAGGCAGAGTGCTTTGAGACTCCCAGATTATTCCGCTGTTTTAATTTTTAATCCAGTAAGAGCTATAGAAACCAAACCTCCTCCCCATTCTGTTGGGTCGACGTACTTTGCCAACAACGTGCTGAAGCATTTGCATTCGGGGTGAGATGGATGCAGGAACCAGAAGAATGCTATTTTTGTAGATGCTGGAAGTAGTTTCTACTCTAGAGGGCTGGTATCCACTGGATCAAGCAATTTTAGGCACCTCAACAGCTTAAATGGAAGGGTTTATACCTACCACTCAACTCTCTCCAAGAAGGCCCTGAAATTTCCCGTTGACTTTGACACCTGTTCCAGTGTTGCTGAATAGCCTGCAATTTTCTGTCTAGTAGCCTCCCTATGCACTTCTGCAGCCATTTATTTCCAACTACATGGAAACTGAGAAATCCTTTTCTAGTAAAAATGTGCGCGCGAAGTGTTTAATGATTTTATGTTCTCTATCTCTGTAATGTGTTCTGTTTCAGACATTAATTTTGTCTACCAACTGCATCTTGGCAGGCTACCATATTTGCTGGGTTAATAGTCTGACTCCTTTTTATTTCTATCACCATAAATCACACATATATGGGTGTGTGTTTGCTTTATTTATAGAAAAAAAATCAGTCAAAACAGATAAACCAATACTTTGTCATTATGCTGCATCATTGCATATTGATTAAAATTGCTGGTACTAACTATAGATTGTCAACGCTCAATTAATTTTCACACAATGACTCAAAGCAAAATCAAATAAAGCCAGTGTACCTTTAAATCTTACAAATCTTAAAATCAAGAAGCAAAGCACTCTCTCCATTTTGAATAATCACTGGAAGCTCCAAGGAACGTTTTCAGCGTTAAGAGGTTGGGAGAAAACAAGAGCTGAAGAAGAGTCATTTTGGTCAGGGGATGAGATGGTGGGTTTGCCTGGGTTTGGGAGTACCCAGGAGCTGCCTTGGGCTGCAAAGCCACTTCTGTTTCCCCCACATTCTTTTTTTTTTTTTTTTTAAGGGCAAAATGGTTCAGAGAAGTCTCCCATTCTCAGTTTCAACAGCATAAAACCTGATACTGGGTAACCATGATTATCATCAAAATGTGCAGCTAGAGCCTCTTCTACTGTAAATGTCTGTCAGACGGGGAGAAAGCAAAATAAATAGACTAATAATTTAATTACATCTCCTTCCTAACACTTCCTAAGATTTCATGCAAGCCAGACAGATGCAAAGCAAATTAACAGGCTAGCACATGAGGCCAGAACAAGGCCCCATGCACCAGCTTTGAGCAGAGCTTCTTTGAATCTCCCTGGAGAGGGGGACAACAAAGCCCAGGTGCCCACGGTGGTGCCTCCTACAGAGCAGCACTTTGCATCTCCTCGCCAGCAGCGCTGCGCGTTGCACGCTCCGGCGGGGAACAGGAAAGGGAGGTTTGCAGTGAGGTTTTGTCTGCTCAGTTCGGTACTTACGGGCTGAGGGGTGGCTTTTGGTTCAGTTGACTTCACATGCAGGTGTGTCATCATGGCTTGCAGGCGCTCTTTATCTTTTGCAAGCTGAAAGAGGGGGGAAGAAAAAAATACCCTCTGTTACTCGTATGGAATAAAACCCAGCCTCTGCTTATTCCTAATTAAACAGCCTGCACCGAGGCATGAGACAGAAGAGTTTTATTGCTGAGTAGTTTGGAAATTGTATATGGCCTATTTGTGAGGTAAAGCTAACGCGTGGTGCCGGGTGTCACTGCTTCCCAAAGCAAAATGCATTAGCCCTCGAGTGAGAAGAGCTAGACCTGCTGGCACCAAGAGCTTCACTCCAGCCCTGACAGCTAAAAGACAACAGTGAATCATGTTTATTAACCAGCCCCACGCCGGCTCGGGAGGCACAGCAGAAGGCCAGCGAGGCAGCGGCTCCGAGGGGCGTTTGGCTCCTTTCAGAGCAGAAAGCAGGCGGCACAAGGGGGCCGTGGCTTTACACCCCAAACAGGCTCTTCTTACTGGAGAAGGTGGAACAGCTCCTAGCCGGCCACCCTGGGAAGCTGAGCAGGGGCCCCCCAGCGTGGGGCAGGAGCAGCAGAGGTGCCGGTGTCCCTTTGGCGTACGCCTCAGCGTGGCAGGGTGGGAAAGGCTAACGGCGCCAGGAACCGCTCCAGAGCGCTCATCTCGGGGCACACAAGGCCACAAGCCCAAGGCTTTCACCCGCTCTCATCGGTCACATCACACCCCAGAGCTGGGGCAAAGCTCCTGCTCTGGACATCTCCTGCATTTTTTGTTGAGATCCGCACCAGGCCACAGCTGGTGTCTCGGAATCACCATACGTATCCTTGGCCAGGCTGGCTTCCCAATGCAATTAAAAGGCACTGGCCAGACACTAAATCATCATTATTTTTGGAAACAAAAATTTTTTTGTATGTGTGAATAGAACTTCCAGCTGCTCTTAAAAAAAAAAAAAAATTCAGTGGAAAGATAGATATTACGAAACGATGCTAATGAAAAAGGGGTGTTACTGACCTACATGGCCAACATAAAGGCTCCTGTTTCCAACAAGTGTTGGAGCAGTTCTTAAAAATGACAATTGTTGCAGAGATAAGCTTTTGGTTTACACAAGCCAGATTCCTGGTGCCAAGAGGGGAATTGTGCTCACATTCCAGCAAAACATTAAACAACTCGCCCACCTTATCACCATCATCTGTTTGTAGCAGTAAAGCTGGGCTAAGTGTATATAAAAGGAGACATGGTCATAAATCCCCATTCATAACCTCAAAGTCAAGGTTGTCTTGCTCTTCACAAGACGAGGGGTTTCTCATCGTGCCAGGAAGGCACCGTGACAGGGTAAAACTTGGCACATAGGCTACTAAGACAGGAATTAAATGAAGGGAAAAATGGCATCACCACTGTGTGCTCTGGAAGTGCAAAAGCAAAATGAGTGGGCTTTTCAAAGGGCTGCTCTTTTCTTGGTCAAAAACCTGAGCTGCAAGACAGAAAACCTGACACCTACAGCAGATCTCCTGCAATCTCATCACCAGATCTGTGCTGGACTTCACTGAAGAGCCAAAGGGCAGCGACAGGCTCTTATCGTGGCTCTGCAGCAGAAACTTCTCCCTCTGAGAGTCCTCTGAGGACCTCTTCAGAGAAAGGAGAGGTCTCGCCCCTCAGCTGCCGTGCTTCACACAAAAACAAATTAAAACTGAGAAACAGTTGTAGTCTCAGAGCAGCTGTTGTGCAATCTCTCATTCGTAGCAGTCGCTGGGCACACGAGCTGCTTGGCGGGGTCACCTGCGCATTAAATTTTGGTCTGCAGGCTACTGCAGAAGAACAACATCTTCCAGCCAAAATAAATAACAGGCAGGCACCTGAAAGCTTCCTGCCTGCATGGCGGCAGGAGGGAGGGAAGGGCACCCGGGCAGCATGGGGCACACCCTGTGGTGCTTCCTCCGGGCCCCCTCTGCGTGGCCGGGGTCCTTCTCTGCAGTGCTTTCACTCAGCCCCTCAGCAAAGCTTTTAACGCCGTTGCTGGTGGATGGAGGTTATTAAAGATCCTCTCGACATTTCAGGCAGACACACGCTAGCATTTTGTCATAGTCTAGGAATTCAAACACTCACCCAGTTAGGCAGGAGTTTAAATTATGAAAAATAGAAGTCTCGCAGTTTCAAAGCACTGAAGAGAAGTAAAAAAATCCAAAGAATTTCTTTAAACTGTTTTTCCCTTAGGTCAGGAAGCAGTAGTGATATAAAACTAGGACATTACTAGTAGCCCCTCTGGTCAGTGGGGTCATAGAAAAGAAGCCATGAGAGTTTGCTCGGCCACTGCTGGGAGAAAAAAATCTCACTGGTGGCACTCACTGGCTTGCGGATGGTCCAGAAATGGGGATTACCAGTAGACAAGCAGGAAAATACTCTTAATCTACTGATAATGTCCTTAGGTGAGGACTGTCCTGCCATGTATGAAAGGATCTGCTCTGTACAGGGGGTCTGAGGACTACAATATAGCCCCATCTGAAGCTTCATTCTTTTTTCCTATCTCCATTTGGAAAGCTCTGCACAGTGGGAGTTGTCAGATGGCCACCCAGTTCTTCATGAGAAACCTGATTTTGAGAAGTCTCCCTCACCTCTGTGGGGTACAGCCATGATGTAGGTGTCTAACCATGGTTCAACAGTAAACACAACCAGAGCAGGGTACATGCTTTGCAAACTTGACACCAAGATCAGGACAGGCAATGGGACATCTTGCCCCAGAGAGGTTAAATCCTAAAAGCACACAGACAGAACAGGCAGGAGAGGAAAGGCACAGAAAGCACAGGCCAGAGGAGGCTCAAGGTGAGGGGCAGCACGGGAGCCTGGTGACCAAGGAGCAAGACAGAAGGCACAGAGGATGCAGAAACTGCACAGGAGGAAAACCAAACAGAAAATAATGGCAAAGAGCAACAATGTGAAAATGGAAACCCAGCGAGGGCATCCAAGAGGAGCGACATGGCCACGTCAACAGGGAGATCACTTCAGCAGCAGGATTTTGGACAGATCAAGGACAAAGAGAAGGAAGCCAGTCATGGGCAATACAGTAGCCAACCAAGACACAGCCTCTTCCCTCCCGTTAGGTGCCTGGGCAGGCTGTGTGCTAGGAAAGGTTTAGGATCTGCTTTTCAAGAGTGTCAGTGGTTGCCTCAGGAAAATGGGCCCAAGCAGAGTTGTCACTAAACTGAAAATGGCCACTTGTCTTCATTTTCTCCCATTAGGAGATAATTTTTCAAACTTAGCATGGCCTGGCTGCTGTCCTGAATTGTTTTTCCACTCAAAGTTGGTGCTGCAAAATGGACATCCTATTCCAGCTAAGAACTAACTATGGATAGGGATATGCTCCTGTGTTTGTGTTTTACCCAGCAGCCCAATTCTCACTATTTATAATGGCAACAAATGATCATGTCAAGATGGTTTAAACAAAGTGAAATATGAGAAGATCTCTACCTTGTCTGTGATATTTTAAGTATGTTTGTGATGGAAATGCTGAGACCAAAGCTTCGAGATTCTTCTGCAAAAGGGTATTTGAAATTAAACACAAGCCAGATCTGAACTGGGTTATTTTTTTAGAAAGTTCATTTAAAAATTACTTTCTTTAGAAGACACTACCACTGATCTGTCTACCACACTGACAAAACTATTATTGGGTAAAATAAACAAGAGCATAAGGAAATATGTTTGCATTTGGGCCCATCACACTCAAAATCTGAAATGCATCCCTCAGGCAGAATGAATTTGTTAAATTCTACCCCTGTCTTGACAGGACTCTACATGCATGAAATGGTGCAGCATCTAGATCTTGCCATGTTGTTGGACCTTGAACAGCATGTGGTATCTCACAGCTCCACTGGAAGGTAAAGCTTCTTGTCATCACTGAGTACTGTGGGTCATGTGGGGAAAGCGTGTGGGTCCCTCTTCTGCCTAGCTCACAAAACGCCAAAAGAGTCAGCCACAGGGCTTGTGGTTGCCACTCTGTTGGCAGCTGCTCCATGGCAGGAGTAGCAGGTCAATCAGTGGTCTTAGTCCAACTGCTCCTGCTACAACACGTTGGGTACTGCAGACCACATCACTTAAAACCCTGCTTGGGTCAGACTTCTGTTTTGTTACCATTCTGTGCCAAACCAGGTCACAGCCAAACCAGGTACTGGAGGACAAATCCTTGTACACATTTAAGCAAACTTTTTTTTTTTTTTTTTTTTTTTTTTTTTTTTTTTTTTTTTTTTTTTTAAGTACCAGAGGACTGAGACACAGGATAAAAGGAGAGGGAGAAGATGGAAGGTCTGTTTCAGAAGCAGGACTGCCCTCCTCCTCTATCTATCCTTGCTGGCCAATGCACGGATGGTCTCACTCTGTTATCAACAGCCCCTTCTAAATGAAGCCTCCAGTTCAACCTATCTCTTGTGCTAGAAACAAACAGAAACTTTTTGGCCCTCACATCACTTTGAAACTATGCCCTTGTCTTGGGGACCTTATGCTGCCTTCCCATGCACTGACTCCAAGCTATCCTCCTCTATCTATCCTTGCTGGCCAATGCACGGATGGTCTCACTCTGTTATCAACAGCCCCTTCTAAATGAAGCCTCCAGTTCAACCTATCTCTTGTGCTAGAAACAAACAGAAACTTTTTGGCCCTCACATCACTTTGAAACTATGCCCTTGTCTTGGGGACCTTATGCTGCCTTCCCATGCACTGACTCCAAGCTAAGAGGTATTCCCCAGCACTAAACAGGTGTGAAGCTCTATTAGTCACTTGTAACAATTAGTAGAATGCACCCCTGATAAATTGTTAAAAAATACTGTCAAGGGCTTATGGAGAGGTGGTAACCAAGTATCATCTCTGTCCTGTCCAACCATTAACAGAGGGCATCCTCGTGTAGTTCCAGGCACAGCCATTCCCAGTGACTGCAGGAGAGAAGGATTAATGCTTTCCAAGCTGACTGTAGCTGAAGAATCTAGATTTACCTTCAGCCTGAATATTACTGCAGCTTGGTAAAAGATTATCTCATATCTCAGTTTACCAGGAAGACTGCAGATATTTTTTTTTTCCCCCTCCAATTCCCGAGAAACTTGTTAAAATAACAGACCATTTCTCATAACATTTTCTGCAAGACTCTGATATTTTATGACTGGTAGTTTGATTTTTATAAAACTTGTATTAAAACAGTTTATATTGCTTCAGCTAATAGGGAAAGAGTGTCATGACCAGAGTGTTCCTGAAAGTAAAATTTAGGAAATATCTATGAAAGAAAAAGGATAATTTGTAAGATAAGAAGATAAAAGGCATTTTTAAAAAATGCTTATCTTGAAAAGTAACAACAAGAAGTTTAAGTGTGTTTTTGCTGATTTTTCTCTCCAACTATTTGAAGCTATAAATGACTTAACTCAGTAAAATTCCAAATGTAATTATCTTCTGTACTTAGCCCAAGGCTTTCCATATATCTCTACGCTGCTGTCTTGCATACAAAATAGGTTTTTCAATAGCTGGTAACTATATAATGTACAACATTGTTTTAATTTCCCCTTCTTTGCTAACCTCTTGCCTAGACACAGAGACACTGTCAGAGCTGCCCAGCCAGAGCAGTGAGGTGCAGGGAGACAGAAAGGACTCGAAGCATTTGGGAAGGCAGTTACACCAACAGCTCACACCTTCGCATCGCATTCAGTATATTCCAGTTTACGCCCTTTGGCACTTTTACAAAAATTATTTGCTACAAACGGCAAAAAATAATACCAGTAATAGTAATAATAATACATGGAGAGTATCAGTAAATGAGAGACCACCGAACAAGCCAGGTCATGCAGCGTTTTGAAATAAACAGCAACCATTTCCCCCGTGCATCATCAACAACTCTAAATGAAGGGGACCATATTCCACTCGCCTCCCTCCGCCCCCCTGGAGTGAGTATAAAGAGCATTAGATACATACTGATGGATTTCCAATCAGTCAGCCTGTTTAAGTTTCCTATTTCTTTTCAAGTTACGGTTTAGAAAAGAGGAAATGAAGCTGCAGTTTCTTTTGACGGTTTTTAAAACTACTACAAGAAGGTTTTGAAAGCTGGTTTTCAATCACAGGGGGGGAAAAGCAGAACTCATTTTTTATTGCTGTCGAGAATCGGATTTGATTAATACTGAGGTAATATTAAAATAAATTTTATTTTACCTGTAGCTCTAACTGCTGTACAACCTGCATTTGTACTCTACATTGGGCTGTACTTCTATCATCCAGCGCATGCTCACTGTTGAGATGTCTGTAACAATACACAGAAAATCATTAAGTGA